GCAGATCGCCGAACAAACCACCCGGTTCTTGGTCATCATGCTCACCATCGGAGTCGAACGTGTGCATAATGTTCTGCAAACTCGATGCTGCGGCAGCAGCCCCGGCCATTATGGACTCCTCATCCATGTTGGGCGTGGCCTTCTCGTCGGCGCGGCCTTCTCGTGAGTGTGTGTGTAGATGTGTTCGTGTGTTCTTGTGTTGTTGGGGTGTGTTCGTGTGTGTTGGCGGTTGGCGGTTGGCGGCGTATGTGCCGAAAATGCGGCCCTACTTGCCTTTTCCGCCGCCCAAACATTTTCGCGACCTGCCGACCTGCCCCATTATTAATGCCCATTAAATGTTTGCCAAACATTTCGTCAAACGAGCGACTTTTGCCCCATTTCAAAATCTTTGGGGATATTTTGCCGAAGATTTTCTCCCTTAAAAAGTGAAACAAAATCTTTATCCGCAAATGTTTGAAAATTTAAACATTTTTTCAAAGATTTGGTGACCATTGAAAAGGGCCGTTTTAAACGGACCGACTTTTTGTCAAAATTTGCGCCCAACTTCGTTCCAAATATTTTTGAAAAAAATGGACAAACGCCTACATACAGGTTCCATTTTTTCGACACTTTCAAAAAAATTGACAAAACGTCGGTCCGTTTAAAACGGCCCTAACATGGGCGTTACATCTGGGAAATACATTTTGGCGGCGCAACAAGCACGCGATATCGTCAAGTGTATGTGTCCATTCCGCACGACGATAGTTGTACAACGGTCACGAAGTGCGTACATTCCCATCGTCCCGTGCTTGTTGTAGAATGACATGTGAGACTATCCTCGCAACAACGGTTCCCAGTGGTGATCTCCTGTGTGAATATAATAAGATGGATGGCATGTTAATGATTCAGAGTGAACCATACATGGTTTAGAGTGAACATTGCACAAGCCTTTCCATTTCTGTTTTTCCCGTGCCCGCCGTCCAAATCGCTGTGTGCAGACAGACACGTCTAGATTGGTGTCAATTTCCTAACACCTGTCCGAAGATGAGTATGTCCACAGCGGTTGTCCTCAGCCACGCACGAAGCACGACTTTCGGGCACACACGCCAGCACGTAACGTTTACTGTTCTTTCTATGTTGCCTTCGCAAGGCTTACCGCTTGTACAACAGTAACTCAACAAATCGAACCGTTCCTCTCCTCAACTACTAGGAACTCCTCTACTCTGATACATGTAACATATTCTTCTTTTTTTCTGCAGAGGAATCTAGTGCAAAGGGATCCCTCAATCAAGTCGTCACATCGAAGTTCGGCCGCTCGTAGTGTTGCATCTCCTAGGCACAACTCCGGGGTCATCGGCACCGACAACACTGGCTAGTTCGCTGTACCCTCAACCTTGTAGCCGACTCCCTTCTGTGCCGCTTAGAGCGAGTTGAAGCCCTTCCCATGATGACAACCCGTGTTTCTCCTGCTGTAGCATGAGTGCAAACCCTTCCCTTGTCTCCTTCCATAGAATTAGACATTTGGAAACGACACGGACGTATATTCACGTGGTCACAGGTTGCAACGTGTACGTGCGGTGCCACCTAGTTTGCTAAACGACTGGTTGCCCGTCCGGTGCCTCTTCTTGCTTTTCCGATTCTTTCTTTTTCTTTCCGTTTCGGTATCATTCGACGGTGGTGACTGCTGTTCATGCACATGTGAGGTACGCTTTTAGATTTCTCATTTTCTCCCATGTATTCTGCCGCTAACGGTTTCAACGGGCTACCGACCCCCTCGATCTCCCCCCCCTTTTCTCGACGATTGTTTCGATACCACTCCTGTGGAAACTGAGGCATAATGGCACCGCATCCGGCGCATGGAGAGGCCGGAAAAGGTTTGCGTATCCCAAAACTTGGGGGCACGCGCTACTTCTCGGTAGGTATGCCTCCCTCTGTGTTCTTGCGGCCTCTATTGGTCACTGTCTCTCCCTAGATCTTGCCCCTGGTGCATCTGCTTGCCAGGGCTTCGATGAGTACGCGTACGCCTGCCAAAGCTTCGCCTGCATCGACCCAGCGGCACCCAGTCTCGACGACGACTCCATCACCGTGGACATGTTCGAAAACTGCACCAATCCTAACGGCATTGGAAACGGCTCGTGTGACGAAGGGAACAACATCAAGGAGTGCGGAAAGCGTCCGTTCCTTGAACACTTCGTGCCTTTATCGCTGTTCTCACCTTGGAGCCCACATGCACGTTCGGTCTCGTCGGGGAGCGACCTCTTACGTGTAGGACGAAACCGGCCAAACCAGCCGAACAATAACAAAGTCAAGGCCGTTACCCACTCGACAACACCGGTCGAAATAAGGTACATCGCATGCAAGGTATAATCAGGGTAAATGAACGACGACGAGATTCCACCTGCCACTCGCACATGATAAACGACGCCTTCAGCGAATAACACGGGAAAAAGGAAAGCCATTCGACAGAGTAGGGGGCCAGAACCCGGAAAATCTTCGAAGAGTAGGGGGCAAGCAGCCGCAAAAAGCTGAACAGGGACGTTTTCGTTGAGGATGGGAGCATCAGCGAGGTCCAAAATCCAATGCCAGACAACGGTACTTGAGCACAGCAGGCCTCCTATCGGCATCGAAAGAGTGCGGTTGAAAACGTGCGATACTCGAGCATCTGCCTCAGTCTCTGCCTGCATTGAGCTTTCTATGCGGAACAGCATGATGCACCCGTGGCTCTCAACATTTCGCTACAATACGTCATTCAATCAACCAGGAATTGTCCATACTACCCTGCTGTCTTAGTTTCTTCCCGGTGATCAAAGCACGAACGACGGACAGTCGCAAGACGGCACATGAGCATGAATTTGACATGTGTCGGGACCAACATCCATTTTTTACACCTTCTCCAAATGTCACGCGCGGTAACACTGTAACGTTACCTCGTCTTTTTTTCCGCTTCCCTTGTTTGCTGCTTGTTCGGCGTGCGTCATTGTCGTTCCTCCCGCTTCTTGCTGGCCGTCAGCATACGACGGCGGTGGCTGTTGCTCGTGCACGTGCGAGGTACGAAAGATCTTACAGGGCGTTGGTTCGAACGAACCCGTGCTGAGCTCGCATGAGTCGTGAATGAGGGCTTGCTGGTCGATCGATCGCTCTGCCTTCAATCGTTTTCATTGCCCGCGCTTTCCAAGCTTCAGAACAGCATGTAGCTGCTTGGTAGCTACGTGAATGATTGCAAGGCACGAGACTATCGAGATACGCTTAGAGGCCCTCTCATCATGGGTGCATACCTTTGCTGGCGTGTGTCTGTGTTTATCTCATAGCGTTCTTGCGTAAGCACAATCTTTGCCGTTCAGGACCCAAAAAGCAGGCACTTAATTCCCAACAGAACGTTTGGTCATCTGAAATCGAAATAACTATCAACCTCCCTTCGTCCAAATCCACTCTACGACAGTCCCCTACCCTTCAGCGTGGTTCTTCGATGCCTGTACTCTTGCCTCTCTACCGTTGGTCAGGTTGATGAGGATGACGACTACCTCTGCAACATTTTTTCTTGCATCGATCCCAACGCGGCCTGTGTAAACGATGACGACATTACGGTCGACATGTTCGAGACCTGCGGCAACCCCTCGGGGTTAGGCGACGGCTGGTGCGACAGCACCAACAACAACGCAGACGGTGAGTCAAAGTCGCCCTCGGAGTATCGTGCACGATGGAAGAACACGATGTAGCATTCCCTTCCAACCACAAGGTCTGAACTGCACCTTTCCGGAGGGCTCGCCATTCTTGCTGTACGTCTGGTATCGCGGCGGCCACATCCTTCGCCCAACAGACGGGGATTCGCCAAGAATAATCTCACCCCCCTCCCCGTTCACTCCTCAGGCTACGACGGTGGCGACTGCTGCTCTTGCACATGTGATAACACTTGGGCTGGTACCTTCAGTTCTGTCGCGTTCGACTGCTACGACCCGAGCGCTGCCTGCTTCGGCGAAGAAACTACGGAACGATAACGTCAGCGTGGGTGACTACGACGACGACGACGAGTTGATGTCATACGCCTTCGTCTCCTCGAAAGAAACGGGATCCCGGACTTCCCTTACGACGCCGTGGAGGTGGGAACCAACAAAATTACCGTCAAAGGAAACGACAAAAAAAACGAAACAAGATCAAGAACGCTTGAAAAATTCGGATTTCACCGACACCCGTAAACTGGCGTCGAAAAAAGAAAAAACACAAGAAAAAATTATCAAGCTTGCCCGTCCACTCCACCAGTTCCAATCGTGAAGATGAAGCGCGCCCTCGATCATCCACAAGTCGATCCTGCCGATCCCGATCTCCATCGTCCCTTCCCGGCTTATGAAATGCGCGCGGCGACTCTCCACGCGACTTTGATGACACCGCCATATCGCTGTGCCCCACCCCAAATGCCCACCTCCGGCTGATGGTTGCGCGCCACCTCCGCGCGACAAAACATGCTGCCCCCCCCCGCTCCAACGATGAGGCAGAACAACCACGGCCCGTCCGTCCGTGCTGGGTTGCGCGCCATCTCCGCGCGACTTCAAGTGCTACCCCCCCGGCTCCAAACGGCAAGGCAGGACAGCCACGGCCCCTCCGTCCGTGCTGTGGTTGAAAAATGCCGCCCGCTTCACGCGTGATGCGGCACCCACCCCCCGACGCGCCGTCGCGCGTGTCAACCGTGGTAGGGCGTGCACGGCCACTCTGCCGTGCCTGTGATCAACTTAGAGAAAACACCGCCCGCGTCAAGCGAGTGCGGCGCCCACCCCCCACACGCCGTCGCGCGGTCAATCCATGGTAGGGTGTCTCCGGCTATTCTGCCCAACGGTCACTCTACCGTCCCTGCTTTCCACCGCCTCCTATCCCGCAGATGGAGAGCGCACCGTCAATTGTGCTACTTTCATGGCCCCTCTGTCCATGCTGTGCTTGCGCGCCACCTCCGCGCGACTTCGTCCGGCCCCCCCACCGCAAATCAGCGGCGCTGAGGGCCTACGGCCAACCTGCCGTACCGTATTAGCAACACCACCTGTCCACCCTAGAAACTTTCAGTTATCACTTCCTGCACCTTTGCTTCCTTCTCGTCTTCGGTCAGCTTCTCCCAACCAGGATCCATCTTGCACAGTTCCTCCGCGCGGTCGTACTGCTCTTCGAAACTCACCACCGCGAAGTTGGGATGCTCCACTACCGCCATGCACGCTTCCTCCGTGGGTGTCGCACACTTCTCTCTGTTGTGTCCAAAGCCCGAACACGTGTCGCACTGCTCCAGCTTCTTCGTGGTGCAGTCGGGTATCCTATGCCCGCGGTGGTTGCACCGGAAACACCTCCGGTGGTCGACCCGGTCGTCCGTCCCCGCCTTCTTCTTGCTGCCACGGCCGTTGCTCTTACTGCCGCGGCCGCCGCCAGCCTGCCGCCCCTTCCCGGTGCCGTCACCCGCAATGTACGCCTGCTCCCCCCCGGATCCTTTTTCTCCTTCCTTCCTCCATTCCTCGGTGAGAAGGTTAAATCGGGTTGAGAGCTGTTGTACAAGGATATCCCTCGTCAGCGGTTGGACCACCGACAACGTTTGCTTGGTGATTTCGTATTCGGGGTTGGGCAGCGAATCGATAAGTCGGGCGAACACGAACTGGTCGTTTACCGTGGCTCCGCCCCCTTGCCGCATCATGTTGGCCATACCCATGAGCTTGTTCAAACTGGCGACGGGGTTCTCCTTCCGAGGAGTCTGGTACTGCTGGAACTCTCTGAAAAGCTGCTGCTGTGCACCCTGTGTCTCCGGCAGGTATGCCGCATCTAGTTGCCGCAGGGCTTCCCTTGGGTTCGTGCAACGACGGAGGATGGCTTTGTCCGTCTCAGTAGTCAACGCGGCAGAGAGGAATTTCCACGCCAGATACGTCTTGCGGATTGCTGCATACGAAAACCCCTGCTCGAGAAGGGCGGTCTGTGGCTTGTTGATGTCCGGCAGCACCCCGCCGCCGGAGAACACATCTCCTATGTCGAGAATGCCTGCCTGCACGATCATATCCTGCCTCCGCCCCGGGTACTGCTCGGCCCCTTTCTTGAGCTGTGGTGGGTTTACGTGAGACGCGGCGAGTTTCGAAATTCCGCCGCCTCCCGTGAAAAGACCCTCACCAGCGACATCACCGCTGACGAAAACACCACCAACGCCACCGCCGGTTGCGGCTGTCTCACCTTGGGAGCCATATCCTCTGCCGTAGCCGCCTACACCCACTGTGCCCGTCGCGGCGGACCCCTGGCTGCTGTTCGGGGCGGCAGCGTCACCGCTGGCCCCTGTCGATGCCCCTACGTCACCGCCGGACTCCTCCTCCTGCTGAACACCTCCAACATCCAACGCTCCCCTCATCAACGATGGAAGCTGGCTCATCACCTGGCTCATCATGGCTTGCATCCTGCCTTCCATCGCTTCGCCTAACCGCTGTTCCATGCCAGTCAACCGAGCGTCCAGTTCAGCGTCGTTGACGCTGGCTGCTGGAACCCCGGCGTCACTCTGATTCAACGCCATGGTCCGCTCTGTCAAAGCAGATCTTCCCGGGAAGAAGCGCTAGCGTGTTCGTGAGCTCTGGCAACAGTACTTGCCGTGCGGACTTGGGGCTGCAGTTTAACTGGTTGAATTAGCACGCGATCGAGAAGGCACAAAGGGAGAGAGAGCGGAAGGAGAGAGTGCCCCGAACTCACCAGAAAAACGGGGGCTCCGCGCTCTCACCAAACTGTCTCGCCACATACCTCTCCAGGTTCCTATCTGCGTCCTACGTAACGGCTACTTTTGGCTTGTCTACTCCTACGTACGAACAAAGGCTGCAGTTTTCAAAACAGAATCGCCATCAGAGTATGGGGGACAACACCCCAGAACGAACGTCAACAAAGGCTCACACAGTTGGTGCTAGCGCACGAACTTGTACACACAAAATCCGATTGGCCATTAATTGTTCCGGTTCGCCATTTTTTAGCTAGGGATCGGAACTCGTACGATGTGGAGGTGCGCGCCTTGAATGTCGCGTGTACAGAAGGATGATGCTTCGCAAACCACATGGTCTATCGTATCATTCTCTTCCCGGATACCACGGCGGAGCAGCGATGGTGTCCAAACCGTTCAATTCCACTAACCACCGACATCATCCAACAACGCCGACGGTGATTTACGGCGGACACAGCTACGTGCGCCTCATCTCCACTACACGATGACAAGCACAGTGCACCCATTCGCAACACTGCCTGATGAACAACACACGACGGCATGCAAGGAAGTTGCATAAACGGGGCGTGTAGCCCGTACCGTCGATACACCACACTCACTCTACACGCGCACACAACGCTCCGAAAGGCGTTTCGCAACGTCTACCACACCAGATGCGCCCAGATTCAGTTCGGTATGGCCAGGTATGCTAGCGCAGAACACGTGCATGCACGAACATTCCGTTCTACTCGTTACAGCTCTTAGATGACTACGTCGAACGTCTTACAATAGAAAACAGCCGCTCCCGATGATTGAGAAAAAATCATTCATTACACTGTTTCGGAAATGCGTTTTGAAAAGTTCACTTTCGCTTTTTAGGGAAAAGAGCCAGTTTATGGCCGCCCTATGAACTCGACCCCAGGAAGATTTTTTTAGCACGAAGGCCAGCTGGCGTCTGTAAAAGCTGAACATTTCCGTTCTTGTTCAAAGTTCATTTCTTATGAAAGGGAACTTAGCAGGACAGTAGTAGCACAGAAGCACCGCACAGACAGACCGCACCAGACCACACCAGGGCGAGTAGCGACGGGAAGGATGTCGACCAACGCAGTCCGCCAAAGCTCGAGGACCGTAGCCCCCTCTTTCAAAGTTCGTGATAGGGTTAGCGACGACCAGGAGACTTCTTTTCTGGCTGCAGGGCAGCGGAAGGCTAGGGAACTGGAGGANTTTTAGCACGAAGGCCAGCTGGCGTCTGTAAAAGCTGAACATTTCCGTTCTTGTTCAAAGTTCATTTCTTATGAAAGGGAACTTAGCAGGACAGTAGTAGCACAGAAGCACCGCACAGACAGACCGCACCAGACCACACCAGGGCGAGTAGCGACGGGAAGGATGTCGACCAACGCAGTCCGCCAAAGCTCGAGGACCGTAGCCCCCTCTTTCAAAGTTCGTGATAGGGTTAGCGACGACCAGGAGACTTCTTTTCTGGCTGCAGGGCAGCGGAAGGCTAGGGAACTGGAGGATTCGGCGGAGAAGAGTCGAGAGACAGCAGTGGCGGCTCTGGCAACCCACCTCCTCCTGCTGGTGGTCTTGAGGAGGATGGAGTACAGGTCCTGTCGAAACCGTGGCAATGTGCAGGCTAAGCCACCAAGGAAGGGCATGTGGACGCTTCCATGCATGATCCGCGTTGCAGAGAAGGGTAAGTCTCTACTGCTGTGTAGATGCGAGAGCACGGCTCTCTTTCTATACATGGTCCATCTTGGGTCTAGACCGCCGTATGTCCTGCTGCTGTTGCCTTGATTCGCAGATAGGATATAGCTCTGGCATGATGCGATAGGATCCAGCTCCGGCATGATTCGAACTTGCAGTTGTACGGCAGCCATCT